GTACGGCGACGCATCCACGGTGAGGACTACAGGCTTGGCCGGATCGAAGTGCACCAGCACCGGAGCCTTGATCACTAACTTCTTGCTGTGCTGGAAGGCCAAATCCTGCTCCTTCTTCCAGGCCCACTGCTGACCATCCCGAAGCAGGCGATGCAGCGGCTCTAGATGCGTCGACAGGTTGGGCAGGAACCTCCTGTAGAAGTTTATGAGGCCGAGGTAGCTCTGAAGCTCCTTCTTGTTTTTGGGCTTCGGCACCTTGAGCACGGCCTCGATCTTGCGGGGTGCCGGGGCCAGGCCAGCCTGGGAGATGATGTGTCCCGGGTACTCCACACTGGGGGTCAGGAACACGCATTTGTCCAGCCTCAGCTTGAGACCGGCGTCCTGTAATCGTGTCAGGACTTTGCGCAGGTTCTGCAGGTGGTCCCCGTTGTCGGTACCGGTAACCAGGATGTCGTCCAAGTACACCGCCACGTGCCTCATGCCCCTGAAGAGGTTGTCCATCTCCCTCTGGAAGATGGCTGGGGCTGAGGCCATGCCGAACAGTAGGCGCTTGTACTGAAAAAGTCCCATGGTTGTCGAAATGGTGACATACTTCCGGGCGGCATCCTGGAGTACCAGCTGCTGATAGGCATTTCGAAGGTCGAGCTTGAAGAACTTCTGTCTTCTTGACACAGCCGACCAGAGATCTATCCGAAGCAGCGGGTACTTCTCGACGGTAGCGACGGGGTTGATGGTGACCTTGAAGTCCCCGCAGATCCTGACACGGCCGTCTCGCTTGAGGACTGGAACAATCGGTGCGGCCCACTCAGAGGTTTTGAGGGGCACCAGGATCCCCTCTCGCTGCAGCCGTTGCAGCTCCTGGGTGACCGTGCCTTCAGTGCGAACGGCAGCGGACGCGGCTTGAAGAAACGAGGCCGGGCTCCCTCAGGTACGTGGATGCCGACCGTCGTGCCGGCGAAGGTGCCCACCCCCGGCTGGAACAGGGACCGTAAGTCGGTCAGGAGGCTCGGGACGTCTTTCATCGGCTGCCGGAGTACCAGCTTCCTGGTACTCCGGCAGCCGAACACTTAGTGCGTGACGCGCACTGGGTGTTCACGTTCTGAGAGTCACGCTGCTGGGCCACTTCCGGCTCAGCAGCGTCGGCGACGACCCCTTGGTTAGAGGGGAAGGATTGCCTCCCTGTCGCCAAGGCGAATGCTGACTTGGGCCCGACCCTGGACCTGGGAAAGCTGCCCGGAGTAGCTGCGCAGCATGACATCAGACGCCTCAATGAACACGCCAGGGAAGGTCCGCTTGAACAGCTTCCCGGCCATGACCGACACGCTGGCCCCCATGTCCAGCTCCATGGTAATGGGGTTGCCGCAGATTTCAACAGACACCAAGTAAGGTGGCACAGACGACGAAAGTTTATTCATGTGCCACACGTCGAAAATCTGCGGCTCCTCGGCCACGACGTGGACCCTGGCTGAGGAGGTACCCGGACCTGGTGCCGCTCGTCCTCGCCGCCTTCTCTTGCGACGGCCACCCTGGCCGCGGGCTTGGCTGGAACCCGGGCTTGAACCAGGCTGCTGCTGCTGCTGGCCGCCGCTAGTCCTCCCCCCTCGGCAGACGTGTGAGGTGCCCAGTTCTCTCGCACGTAAAGCATTGTGCTTGGACGAACTGGCACTGTGAGGGGGAGTGGGCAGCACCGCAGCGGCTGCAGGCACCGCTTCTTGCCGCCATCTTGTTCACCGTTGCTTCCGTCGACGGTGAGCCGGCCGCACGCGCAATTTCGCTGGCGTCCCTTGCTGCGGCTTCCATCACCACCTGCGCTGCCTTCAACGCGTCGTCCAGGGAGAGGTCGAGGAGCTTTAGGAGTCGCGTCTGCATGGCGGGGTTGTTGATGCCGCAGACGAACCGGTCCCGGAGTAGCAAGTCCAACTGGTTGCCGAAGGCGCGGGTGTTCGACAAACTGCCCGAGGGTCTCCCCGTCCCGGCGGCTCCGGTTGTTGAAGCGGAACCGCTCCATAAGCGTGGACCGCACCGGGCTGAAGTGCGAGCGCAGCGTGGCGAGCAGCTCACCCAGCGTTTTGACGTGTGGCGTGGCCGGTTTGAGGAGGTCGAGCAGGAGACTGAAGACGCGGGTCCCGCAGCTGGCCAAGAAGATGTCCCGCTGTTTCGCCTCGGGCGTGTCGTTCGCCCGGAAGAACACGTGGAGTTGTTCTTCGTAGACTGGCCAGGCGGACCCATCTCCCTCGAATGGCTCGAGCCTCCCATACAGCGGCATGGCAACAGGAGCGGGTGGCTGTGTTCCGACTCTCTCGGCGGCGTGGGCCGAACCGTGCACGTTGGTGGCCTCCAGTGCCACGGTTCCTCGTCGCCAGTGTCACGATCCTTCCAGAAAATATGGCAAAAAAAACAGTGTTTGACCAGACACTTGCCAAAAGTTTTTGTGTAAAGACTATATCCATTGTGCAGAAACAAGATTGGTTTCATATTAGTCACTCTCATTAGGTCTATTAGGGATGATTATTCGCGACTCCAGCGACCTATAGGGGGCGCCCCCACCAAACAAACATGGCGGCTGAGTCCAGGTCGCGGCGGCTCGACCGGGCCGCCTGAACAGGTGGCGCGTTCAATTTAACAGATTTTCTTTTGTTTAATGCCCAATTTTATAGGTATTTGAACTGAGACGGTTAAGTGTAGCCGGTGCAGATAAACTTGCAAAGCATAGTTTTGTTTTGCCGGTGTTTTTTTGTTCTTTTCGTGTCAAACTTTCGTTTCGGAGATTTCGTTCAAAACCGAAACTATGGGCTCCGTAGAGACGGTAATATACTAATCAGTTTTGATCATCTAAGGAAAGCGGCGATGACTATAGAATTGTTCCACAGAGAGTAACTTTTCAGCTAACTCGCATGCCTCGACCATGCGACTTATCTGTCCGCGAAATCAAGCTTTTGTACGTATCCGCGTTTACGAAACAGCTCCAGTCGTCTGCTCGGCCAACAACACAGGCTGCAGGAAAATTACGAAAATTAAGCAACTGCTTCTTGAGCCAAGGACCATGTTAACCCGCCGGCGCCCCACTCGGCAGCTGATACTCATATTTCAATTCAGGTTTTAGTAGCAATCGAGAAGTCATTTTGACGAGCGGGTTATGTATTATATTACATACTATGGGGGGGGGTTCCACTGAAGCGATATTAGTATATCCTTCGGGTTGAAATATGAGCTTAGTTGACTAGCTATTACGTGAGCTGCTGAATAAAAGTATATTTGACAGACGGAGACATACTACTTAAACTTAGCCAAATGGTTCTATAGCCGGCAGCACGGGGACAAACTGAAGAGAGTCTTCATTGAAGATCCGCGCAGAACCTCTCTGCATTGAACGGAGAAAATTGGTATTTTTTTGTGGCCGGTCAACCTGACCAATGTAGACGTATATTGCTGCTGGCTTCGACGTCCTCGTAATATAAATATTGGAGGCGCGATAGGTCAAAATGCCGTGACAGCATCTAACGTTGCGAGACTTGTCTCCCACCTTTTGAAAACAGATAATTTCCCTCATTCATCATTTGCAGTGAGCAAGTTTTCCTGAATCAAGTAATTGCGAAATCAGCCCAACTCCTTCAGTGTGGTCCAAAGGCTTTTTCGGCGAAAAGCAGCCAAGATGAATAGCCAACGCACCGACCGGCGTGGGTGGCTCAAACTTGAAGCTAACCGAACACAACCAAACTCAAGAAAAGCAGCTAACGAACCTTCCCATTCACTTGGCTGCAACATTGATGTTCCCTCCAGTATCAGTTACCAAGCAGTCATCACTTTGAATATGATTCGAGACAGACAAGAAATCAAAAAGTTTTCCGTGATTCCACCCCATCCAAGAAATCGAAAGCACGCGACCGTGTGCTGTGGAGTAAACGGGCTTTCAAACACGTAATAGAAGAAAACAATCTACTGAGGCTTCACCTCACTAATGATCACTCAGGAAAACTTAAGAAATATTTGGACCTTCGTCAAATTACATCGTTCGCCATCGCGCCGACAACACGTGTCCGCGAAAGCCACCAGAGACGCGGAAGGGCGCGGAGCGACCTGGACCGGCTGGTTCCCGGTTTTCCCGCTTGGCGGCGTCCGTTTTGCTGGAGTCGCGAATAGTCTTGCATAATTAATTTTTAGTGCAAAAAAAAAAAAGTGTTGCAATATGTCCACCGTTCCCAGAAACTCTTGGTATCATTGAAAACCATTAAAGGGCAGCTCCGCTTTATTTTTGATATTTAGAAAACTATGTAGCCCTCTTCAGTATCACATAGGAAGACCTCATGTCAAATATTATGATCTAATTCCGTCTACATATTTAATAAACTGGCCAGCAAACCTTCAAGTGAGCCAAGTCGCCGAAATTTGCCAACTCCAGCGTGCGACGTGAGGTGCAATCGTCAGCGCAGTCAATGTGACGGAGTTGGAGCGGCCAACGTTGAGCCACTACGACAGAGGCATGTCTACGTCATTCTTACATTTTGTTTGTTTTTACTTCTCAGAGCAAAATTGAACGATGATGTCATGAGTTTCTACTCCCGGTGTTGGCTGAACGGCGTCCACGTGATCACCGTAACGCGGGTGCGCTAGCTTGCGCTGTCCTGCGCGCAAACTAGCGCGCAGGGCAGCGCTAGTTTGCGCGTGTGTGAGCACTCGGCAAGAGATCCTTGCCGAGTGCTCACACAGCATTTGTGTCCATTACGTTGGGATCTAAGTTCACGCTGAATGCCAACGCAGCTCTCGTGTCAAATAGATCCTCAGAGTGAGCGCCAGAAATATGGCAGCCTCGGATAATTGGCACAGCAGCCACTAGAAGCGCACACTCTTGAGTAGTGTCTGTTGCTGGCTTCACAGTTGATGTCACACTTGCAATTTATGTACTGGTGATTCTTGTAAGAGTTGCCCGCGGCTTTGTGGCAAACAGAGGGCGCGAAATATGTGCAGGGATGTGTGGAGGTCTAATGCCAAATAGTATGCAGGTACGATGATGAGTGCCCAGAACCTGGCCTATGCCGGCAGCAAGTTCACGTGCGGGGTGCTTGCGGACCGACTTAGCACTCGGTTGCTGTTTGGCGTGGGACTGGTGCTGAGTGGTCTGGTCACCTTGGGCTTCAGCGCAACTTCAGTGTCTTCCCTGGCGGGTTACCTGGTGTCCATCCTCTGGTGCCTTAACGGCATTGCCCAGGGCTGTGGCTGGCCAGCCCTTGTCAAGCTGCTCCAGCAGGTACTCCAAATCGGATCACAACCAGGGGCAAATTTAGGGGGGAGGGCGACCAACCCCCCCCCCTAAGCCCCCCAAAATCAACTTACAATTGATATACACCAGCCAAAAGGTTTGTTTTTGGTGAAAGCAAATATTGGGCCAACAAGATAGATGTGGGCGATGTTTCGGCCGTAACGTCATATCTCAGCAGACTCCCCCTCCCTGCTGCCAGCCGAATGCCTATCGCTCTCCCCCCCCCCCCCCACCTCCCCCCCAAGCCTTATTCATTAATCCACCTTTGATCACACCTGAGATTGACAACGGAACTCGTGACCGGCAAGTTGGCGATTGGGCTAGTACTGAACCCACAGACCCTGCGGCATATACATAATTGATTTGAGGCCTGTTCGGACCGAGCGGTTGTCCAGGAACTTTGGTGTGTGGCAGGGAGCCGAGCCAGGGCAGGAACTCATCAGGAACCCGGAATCGTGAGGGACCAGGGAGCAGGAGGTGTGTCTCTAATACTAACTCTATATATATACACATGGACAAGTTTACAACATGAACGGAAGAACAATGTTGAAAACACACAGTAGCAGCCGCCTGCTGCTGCTTTTATAACGTTACTTTTCCCCACATCCCTAGTAGGGAATTCCTATCGTCCCTGCCTTGACCAAAACGGCGTGGTCGGTGTTCGTTACAGTCAAGAACGCCCCTTCCCGCCCCTTGGTCGGTCACCGGTGCCGTCGAAGTTTGGATGGGGCAAAGAGATAATTACCCCCATGTGCAGATTCTTGGTTTTCGCACGCCAAGACGATAATCCCATCAGTGCTTTAAGCTGAGAATAGGGTGCAAAGCCCCCTCCTTTGTCCAGGGCGTCCCAAGACTGTCGATAGCGCTGTACGTTGAGGCAAGACAGAAGCAGCAAGGGGTGGGGCCGGGAGTTAGGGACGCGTTGGTCAACTCGATGATCCCCTTGCACCAATGTGCACGGTGCCCCCAAGTCACGTCTCTCTTCGTTTCCGGGCACAGCTGACCGGAGCCACGTGGCGACGGTTCACCGGTGCCGGTCGGAATAGATAGGGAAGGTCATTTCCTGGGGCCTTTTGCAACAGGACAGAGATGAAGAAATAAAAATAATGTGCCTCTGTCCGCTCCCGCCGCAAGGCACTGCAGACTTAAAACCAATCCGAATAAAATGAATTGGATCATGAGATAAGTGTGAATTTCACAGTGAAGCCAATTCGGGAAGGGAAAAAAAAATTCAGGACTGGCCAATGGAACAGCCTGGGGAAAACCAGCGGGGCAGAGCCCTTCCTCCTCTGCTCGACCCCTGTGCGACCCCACTACTAGGTCACAAGCGTGCATCACAGTGGGTTCAACGGTCACCGCTGGGCAACCGTGAATCAAGCAGCCCCGCCGCCAGTGATTAGTTTAATATCCCTTGGCTCCCCTTGGGGACATGCACCTTTTCCACAAAGGCACCGCCATCTTAAATGTCGTCACTTCCGGTATGGGCGAAAACATAGCTTTGCTGTTGCCACATCAATAGAAGACATCCAGGATATAAGCGTAACTGTCACCCATTCTCATTTTGCCTCACCTCTATTCTTTTACTATATGCAGGTTAAAATGTTAAATTATTTTTTGTCGCACATACCGAATATGTCTACCAGGTGACTGGGGACGAGAATAAACGAAAAAGGTTTATATGTTTGTTCAATGTATTTTGAAGAAATTAATAGCCTCTGGACATAAATAAAAGATGCTCCCAGACAAAGGCAAACATTGAAAAAAAGTGTTCCTACTTGGTACATAAGGACCACATTTAATGTTGATGTGCATATCAACACGAAGGGTGCAAAACAACTGCGGGCAATTAGGGAAACTGTCTAATGGTTTATAGGGTAACATTTGAAAGGTCTGGAAGAAAAACACGATTATGATGTTTCTTGTTTGCGTGCTTCTTCACCAGTGCTTGTACAGTATAAGCATTAGGAATCTTCCACCTAACGTCCGTGTTCTCACTAAGGCCCTCGGATCCATGTGTTGCACTCTATATGGACTGCTAATGTGTGCATGCATAAGCCTGCTCACTGTTAATCTGTTCCCCGCAGTGGTTCCCTCCTTCTTCCTTTGGAACGTCATACGGTATCCTGGCTGCCTCGTCCAACATCTCCCTGAGCCTTGCGCCAATGCTCGCCTCTTTCCTGATCCTGAACTACGACTGGCGTGTTAGTCTCCTGGTCGCAGGTAGCGTTATAAATGAACAGAAAGCAGACTTTTCAGCAGGCATTTTTGTACCTATCCGGCAAATCTCTTTTGGTGTGCCGATTTATTTTGAGGAAGATGGGTCATTTCGGAGTCCCCCTACCATAAAGACAATAACTATGCTCCGTTACGCAGGTTAAGAGAGGTCCCCGCAAGTGCGCTCCACTCTTTCCACTTTAGCAGAGTGAGCGATAGAAAAAAGCGAGAGAGGATCGAGCCGAGTCATCTCGCCTCCTCTCCAACCTTCGCTCTGCTAAAGTGGGGAGAGTTGTGGGCTTTGCGGGAGGAGCTTGTTTAGCTTTTCTTATCCTGCAACTTCAGCGAGGTATATATGGTACTAAAGGCCCTGTCACAATGAGGCAACAGTTGGACAACTCTATCCAGCAACATGAGAAAATTGTGTTGCCGGCAGCCCTGTCACATCGCGGCAACAACAACAGTCGGGCAAGATGTGCTGCTGCCCAGCAGCCATGTTGCCCGATTTGTCCAACCACCCTGTTACACCGTGCTGACGGCGGGGACAACACGGGGAACACTGTGCCATCTTGATTGTTTACCTTCGTACATGTGCGTCGCAACGTCGCTGGAAATGTGACTCTACAAAGTGCTAGTGTGTTCGAACAACCGGTAATTACCACGGGACGACATCGACCAGTAATTGTGATTAGAAAACTTGACATGGGGAGTATTTTCTACCTTTTATTTTATCAAAATGTTCTTCATTCGCTGACAAAGCAGATAGGCCTAACCGAGGAAAGTGAGACCGCTGATATATGTTCAGAATTTACGCCATGGTATGAATTGTTTCTGTCCGTTTCTTTCTTTCGTGCAGTTCCTATTTGTACTGTAAAATTGAGTTAGCACCGGCAGTACCCCAAGGCACCTTTTGTAGCATGGTGTTGAGCTGAACTGAGAGTGCTTGAAGACTGCAACACCTACATGATCGGTCGTCATAACAATCGGTGAAATAAATATTTTTCAACGGTCTTTGCCTACCGCCTGCTATGTGATCGCTTCATTTCCCAAAACGTCCTGGGTATTTTGGAAACAAATCAGGTGTCTGGTAGCAGCTCGTTTCCAAGTTCCAAGCATCAACAATCATGATCAGAGTGGTCGTTCTAATGCTTAGATTTTTTAATCTCTGCTTTTCTGGATTATTTTTTTTGTACATTATTAGGGGGTGAGCAGGCATGTAAGTCCTAATTGCAATCTGAACGTTCACGACTGTAGCTGTGAGCTTCCTTTAATTACGCAGTAAAAACATTCATCAAATTATTTTAGCTGCAGACCAGCCTTAAGTATTGTTAAATAATGTTTTCCAATCCTTTATTTAAGTAAGACATTATTGATAGGGATCTAGCTCTGCCATTGAAGCTTTCTGTGTTGTCGTGTTGCCAGCCCAAAATTCGCTCAGCCAGCAATCAGGGCAACACACGTTTTCCAACGCAAGTTGGGGCTGTTTTTGTTGCCAAAAGCTGTCATACCGAGGCAACATATTAGTTGGCGTCCATGTTGTGCAGCTGTTGCAGCGATGTGACAGGTTTATCGGACAAGACGGGGAGCGAGCAAAAAGTTGCTCGACTGTTGGACAACGTGTTGTATTGCTCTTGCCGTCATGTTTCTTCAGTGTGACAGGGCCTTAATGCATTCCAGTTATTGGTTGAATGGCTTGAGAAGATATGCTAGGTTATGGCAGGAGAAACTTGTTCGAAGCACAGATCTACTAATGGTGCAACACATAGGATATTATCTTGCAATAAGTAGCCATACCTCATAAAAAATAACCAGGAAGTTGGCTCAGCACAGCATCATGTTGTGCTGAGATGTGAAATCGTTACCAGGCCTACCATAACCGGTGTTTTAAATACAGTACCCCGCAGGGGGCACCTGTGAAAGCAGGTGTTTGGAAAGTGGCGTCTCCACAGACCCCGAGCCATGTGGGTTCGCTCGCCCACGTCTGGCTGTGCGTGGCTTTCTCGTGTCTGGGGAAAAGGGCGGCATCCTGGTGGTTGAGCCAAGCCCAGGGTAGGTTTGGACCCTTCGGGGCCCCCCGGGCGAGACAATACACCACTTCGGCCCCCCGCGTCTCATAGACAGGAGTCTTGGTAAGGCCTGGCCAGGATGATTCAGTCTAGTCGCCACATCTTCTACTATCCCCTCCCTTCTTTCACCCTTGTCTTCTCCTTTTTTTCGCTCTTCTCATTTCTCTTCTTTCCTTCCTCAACTCCTTTGGCGGATTCACAACTCATAAGAAGTCTGACTTTTTCTATATTCACCAGGCACACACATTCACCATCTCGCTCTGAAAGTGTGCTTTTCCCCTAAGCACACGGCTGCACTACTGCACTACAGTGAAGCAAAAATCGCAAAAACACTGTGCCTGCTTTGCAGGTATCACTTTTCTGCAGTGCACCGGTGCGCGGTAAGAAGCACACTCATCGGAGATCACCAACTTGGCGCAATTGTGACTTTGCTAACACGTCAAAAAGCATGAATGTTGCAGATCATCTCTAACCGAATATCAGATAACGCACTATTCGTAGCTACTATTTAAATCTTCGCACAAACCTACTATACGATAGTGGCCAGATAGCTTTGAGCGAGCTGGATTGTTTAGCTGTGCTATGGCAACTCCGGTCAATTCCAAGGAATTTGAGTTCATGGTTGATTAGAGATCCCAAGGTAATAAGAGACGGTTCTACACAAATTATTTCTAAAAAAGTGTAATACCGTATTTTTTGCACAGTCTTCGTTTAAAGCTTAACACAAATGTAATCCGGAACCCTACCTGCGAGCAACATTGCTCTTGTGTCGTCACCTACAAACTCTAACCATGTGGTACAAATGGGCAGAAGTGTCGTCTGTTACAATTGGCAGTTTGCTACACTCGAAGACGCCTGCACTACCGTAATAGCAGCTTGTGTTTTAGTGCAGATAAAGGCATGTTTTCCCAAGGGCTTGTTTTGAAAATATTAGAAGGAAGTGGAGTTCAGCAAACTATGTGTAAATATGTTGCAACGGGTTTGTAGAAGTATACCATGCTCAAGGTCGAAAAGTGGCTCTCTCACATGTGACGGACGCTGCCGGCGATGACGCATGCTTGCACAAGAGCACACCAGGACATTCCAGCGCATGCGCATTCTGCAAATCACATGGCCAACGATAAGCGTGCTGCTAGCACCGCCTGTAGATTTTGCTAGACACAGTATTAAACAAGCAAACAAATCTCCCTGAGCATGACGGATGCAGCGCAGGGTGCGCTGCGCAGAAACGGTGGTGGTGACTGCATTGATGGCTACGCTCACCTCGCCTGCTATTCTCCGTTCACCCTTTAGCTGAGACTAGAAGCTGCACCTTCAGTGCAAGCTTTCTGCCTTTGCTAACAAAAGTGTGAACGCACAGGCACATGCCACCAAGGCACTGCAATAGCCAGTGAGATTGGGCTAAAGGTGGAACTTCTAGTCTGAACTTAAGGGTGAACAGAGTATAGGATTACCAGATTCTGGTAATTTCGCACACCTCAAACTTTGCTTGTCAGACATGGTAACCCTGGAGCAAGGGGACAAAAAAGGATGGACAGACACAAAACTGAATCCTTTTTTGTCCCCTGCTCTAGGGTTACCACATCTATCCTTAATCAGCTCGCCTGTCTACTTGCTTTAACTTCAATTTGCTTGTCAGTTTTATCAACTTTTAGGTGGAATTAGGCAGAAGTAATTGGCGTGGGGTCTTTTTAGACAATGCTAAAGATAATTCCATTGCTTTCTTAATATTGAAAATGAACCAGAGTTGTCCTTCAATGGTGCTGACAATTTATCCAACGTCGACTGTTTTCTCTCTCTGTTAGTTATGAGTAAAAGGAATAAATTGGGCATGTTGACTGTGAGGAAAAAACAAGTGAAACAGGTGCTGAGCCATAACTGAAGACTTGTCACGTACATAAAATGGAAGAGTCAAGGGGCAACGAAATTTGGAAACACAACCAGTTGTACACAAACACACACAGAGACCATCAAGGATGCAATCTTCATGACATCAAATTCATCGACAATTGTGGAATATATGCTATACTTCATTTTCTGTCGATGTGATACACAATGGTCTTCCCAAGATTTTTGTTAAGCAGTTATAGTAAAATGAAGCTCAAGGTAATGAATGTGTAACTCATGCATAATTGCTTATAAGATCTCCTAATTCATGACCAGTGCTATTTGCCAGGCTGTCATTCACTGATACAAATGCCATATCCTACAGGTGCCCTACCCATAGTTGCGGGGCTTGCTTCTAGGTTGGCACTGGTGGACAAGCCCACTGACGTTGGCCTCCAGGCTGTCGTGGAAGATGCTCGGCAAGGTAACAGATTACCATATTGACTGTTATGTTAGGAGAAAAGCATTGAACAATGCACTGTAAGAAATTTGGAGTGTCTAGTACTTTCCCGCAAAGCATTTGGTAGGGTCAATCGCTGGAATTTCTTAGATTGTAGAGTAAAGAACAAAACAAAAAGTTCTGCAGATTTATCTGCCATTTTTTTTTTCTTTTTTTACTGGGGAAGCTTTTAGGGGACAAATTCTTTGGTTTATTAGATCAAAGGGTGTGAAGTGCTGCATGCCTTTAATCGAAAGCCGTTCGGCTGAGCAGTCATGGTTTAGGAAGTGTCGAGTCAGCTATTATGACTGCCCAAATATATGCTAGAGGCACTGACCAAATGAATACTTTGAGAATGGAACATATTACATTATTTGCCTGTTGTGAGCACATTGGCAAAAATTTGGTTTGTTGCATGCAGAATATCTGCTGATGTGTGATTGAGCTTCTATGTGGCTATGATAAGTAACACACATCTAACTATTGAGGCGAAATGTCATGCCAGGTGTTTCATGAAATGTGAGCAAACATTTCTCGCAAAAACTATGTATTGTATATAAAATAGAGATTGATGTTGTCAGTAACAATTAAAGTACCTGCATAAAGGGTTATGGAGCATTTGGAAAAATAAATGGTTTGTTATATTGAATAGTTGACATTTTAATTTGTAAAAATTGTGTCATACTGTCATGACCGTTTATAACGAAGTCAGTTATAATTAGGGTTCGGAGTTTTCGGTGCAAGATCCGCAGTCAGAGTTTAGTGAGTACACAAAATATGTTATGCTTCAAAACGTTGCACCGTGTCTCTTTTGGTAGTCGCATTTGGTTGTTTGGCCAATTTTGGATCAGGCAGCGCTTCATCTCCTCAGCCTGACAGTGTCCAGTGTTAACATTGAGAGGGCATTCTCGAAGCCCAGGTTCATTAATGAGGAAAAAATGAGTTTGGATCAATGCGAACCTGGGAAAGTACATATGTGTTTGCTATAATAAGATCACGTAATCCTGATGTACAGAAGGTGAAGTTCCATGTTTTTGGGACACTGACTTGTTTGTACATCTGTGTTTTTTGTTGTTTTTTTGTTTCTTACAGTTGCACACATTTGCCAAATAAAGTGTCAATGTTTGTTTTTCAATGTATCTGTGCCGTTGTTCCTTGAGGGATCACGAATTTTAGAGTTGCAAGGATCATCTGGTCCGGTGTGCGATGATGTTTCTTTCATATTCACCGAAAAAAACTGTAAAATTTTTGTGGGCATAAATATACACCGGCAAAAAAAATGAAAATTGAATCTTTAAATAAACACCGAAAAAAGTATGCCGAATTTTGAAAAAATAAAAACCGAAAACGCGGAACCTTAGTTATAATGAAATAGCGGCTATAGCGAAGCGATCACGTTTTCCCAGTCCGATGTGAACGCTTTTGGCTCCTTGCAGGCTGCAGCTCGTTTTGTAAACCTTGCCCACAAACCACGTGACTCCAATTGAGTGGTTCATTTCATTCATTTCATTTATGTCTCTCAGGGCCCGAAGGCATTAGAGAGAGGAGTGGGGTGCAGTAGATGGAACAAAGCAAATAACAACGAAAAGGCAAACAATACACAAAATAACTACTAAACATCATTTAACACGTAGTAATGGCACAGCACATGGAATAAAACAAATACTGTTAACGACTTAACTTTTGCGGGCTCAAATTTTCGCGAATCGGGCCAAAGCTGAAAATTGGAAATTATTCACGGGTTCTAATTTTCGCGAATCGAGTGTAGCTTTTGTAGCGTTCACATATTGCCCGAATTGTTCGCGGGACATATTTCTCGCAAATTGTGGGCGATTTGCGAAAATTAAGTCCTCGTAAAAATTTAGTTTTTTACAGTAACAATGAAAAGGCAAAAAATACAAAAAATTACTACTAAACATCATGTAACAGGTTAGTAATGGCAGTCTTAAAGGGGTACTCCGGCCGTTTTTTGAGCTACCTAAACAAATTGCATTTTCTGACTACCCAGACTTCAGTCGTCATATTATGCTATTTATTTTCTCGAAATTCAAAATAGCAATTGAGAAAACCGTAAATGAAGATAATGCCGAAACCAGCGTTCAGATTTTCGCGCGCTCTTCAGTGGTGTGACGTCACACATGGTACAGACTTTCAGGTCGTGCATGTAGTCTTAAACAGAGTATGTCGAGTGTTTCTTTGCGTGCTTCTCGGTGAATCAGTTACCAAACATTCTTTTCCCACCATCAAACGTCTTGTAATCAGTTGGGAACATGGCTTACTGCCCACTTCGTACCATTTCTGTCGTCACACTTCAATGTTGCCAGTAGGGGCTCCCGGTTTGAGAAACACTGAAAACGAAATTTGAATATTCAAGAACTTCACAAATTTTTTTTCTTTTCACACAATACTTGGGGAACTTGTAGAGCCATGTGTATCAGTGTATTGAGCCAATTTTGAAACAAATCGGCGACCATGAAAAAATCACCGGAGTTTCCCTTTAAATTTATTTGAGGCTTGTGATTGTGATAATGGCTGCGGGAAGGCGGTTCCAGTCAATCGAGGTTTGAGGCAAAAACGAGGCATTAAAGGTAGGTGTGCCTGCAATGAGGGATCCCAACTTTTAATTGATGATCGGTGTGTGATGATATGCAAAATGGTTCAGAAAATAGTGCTTGGCGGAGAGTAAGGTTAGAGTGATACCTATATCTTATGGAACAAGCATAGACAGGATATCTTTCGACGAAGAGAAAGATTGGGCAAGGATAGAGATGCTTTCATTAAAGTGGTGCTAGCTGTGCGATGATAGTTAGAAAGTATAAAACGGGCGGAGCGGTTTTGAATGGATTCTACGGCAGATGCAATTGGGTGATACCAGGGTTCCAGATTGAGGCGGCATATTCAAGTTTAGGGCGAATTAAGGTTTTATAAATTAGAAGCTTTAATGAAAGAGGGGCAAGAAAAAGTTGCACCTTTCTTAAAGGACTGTGCAACAGTTTCGGTGCTTTGCTTAAATAATTTGGGAGTTGGTATCTCGACCTTTCTGAAGTAAAGACAAAAAAAAAAAAACGCTTTTGCCTGCATGTCCTAGTTTTTATTTTAAAAATGGACAAATATTGAGGTTTTCGGCACCTCTCAACTGCTCCTTCACCATCTTCCGAGTCACGTGCGCTCTGACGTCAATGGGGGTCGCTCGGCGTTCCGGTGAAGCTTTCTCTCTAAAGCCATCAGTGAGCAGCGAGAACTTACCTGCTCGCAACCACGTGGCCACCTGCTGGCGGGTGCAGCGCAAACAATATGGTGAAAGGAGGAAAGTCTCATCCGGGTCTGGCCATACTGGTCCGGCTCTATCCCCCTCCCCCTCTGGCGGCTGTTCGCGGTAGCAGATAGAGCAGAGACCTAGGGGATAAATGGCGCCACTAAAACTTGGTATAATAAAAGTTTAGTCTATGGTACCAGTTTTTTTACGCATTTATATTTATGTAGGAACAACAAGATTTATAGAAAGTTTACCTTTTATCGAGCAGGTATTCGCACAACTTGCTATCTTTCTACAAGACCCCCATTGACGTCATGCCGCGTGGTTCTCATGACCGCTGCTCGCGGCTGCAGGTCGGGAATATTCTAATTTTTGCCTTGCGATTGCGAGGTTGAATCGCAACATTTTGATGGAAGGAGGTGTGTCCTCTGTGACAAGATAAACAATGTCAAAAGTAGAAGATGCCCATTCTTTCAACATTAAAATCGTTGCACAGCTCCTTGAAATCTAGCTCTTTATTTGCGTCTCCAATTCACTATAGGTGGCGCCACTCAATTTCCAAAATGGCGGGTATAGTGAAGGTCGAAGGGGCATGCCGCTGTTGAGCCTGTCTAGTGGGCTGGCTTCACTGAGCGACACAAGTTATTTCTGGTAATGCAAGGAAGCTAGGGTGTTATGAGCGCGGGTCACCCCCTTATCTTTAAAACAAAACCGGTGTTTAGCATGATATTTGCACCAGGAGGCACATTTTAATTGTTGAGCGAAACTGAAACTACCTCTATTTTGGATTTAATTTTTCAGTATAGTAGGTCTTAATTTCGGGTTCTTTCATAACTCAAGATGTGTCTCACATCGTAATTATTTAGTTAAAGAAGTTGTTTGCGGAAACCTTATTACATACATGTTCAATCCAGCTACTTCAAAATATTTTTGGAGATTTTAGTGTCCCTTAAAAGTCAGGGTGTTCATACACCTTAGAGGTGACAGAGAATATTGCATTTGTTGAAAAGAATAGTCCTGATACTTGTGCATTCCCGCTGCCTTTTCACACTCAGATTCTTGTCATGTGAAATAATAAATTGTGGCCCTTTTAATTGGTTTTTGGGTGTTTATATGATTAATTGCTTTAACATGTTTCCCAGGACAACAAAAACAGAATAAATCCAATTTTTAAAATACATTCACAAAACATAAATTAAGAAATGCTGTTCTCACTACAACAACCCAAAGACAATCCGTTTAAGACAGCTGAAGTGTGTGTGTTTTTAAAGCAACGTACGTGACACATATAGTAGGACTTTATATTTCATCCAGTGTTTGACTGTTTGTCTATCTTGATAACAATGTCAGAGTTTTTCATATGCTAAAAAGAAAACAAAAAGATACTTTTCTGGAAAGACTATCATGGTTAAATGGCATATTTTTGTGATTGTGGCGTTAATAGGGGGCATACATTGCCGCGATTTGTATTAATATTAATAATATTAAAGTTAAGATATTTTAATACATAATTTTTCAAGCTCATATAATTTGTTGCTTATGATCTAATTTCAAACACATGAACAAGTATGACAATCAAAAATGTGCAAACTATCATCACTGGCACGAATTGTAACATTTTTAATTACAAAGTTATGAAATAAAAAGTCTAAAATCAATGAAAACATTCTCGCTAATGTGAGAAATCCATGTGAAATTACATTAATTCTGGGTAAAGCATATGGTGCTATCAAAGTCGCGACTTTTGACAATCGGCAAAACTTCCAATTTTGCCGCCAATATCCTTCCAAACCAAATGACCACCCCCCCCCCCCCCAAAAAAAAAAGAAAGTTTTTCTTAAATTTAATAATCTTTTTGTAACAGTTAGTTACTTTCATTTTTACGCGCGGTCGTTTTGCTAATCTCAGCCTTTCCAATTCGAAGGAACGCCTACCTGCTTGCACGTCTGCTCACCGCAGCACGTTTCGTTGGCGTTGGAAGCTGGTGAAACAGTACTGTAATATCTTGAGAGAGAGCCCACCTAAAATCAAAAGAAAATTGGGTGAAAATAAGGAGTGGGCTAACTTTCGGTGTTCAATCAAGAAAAGTTTTAAAAGATGATAATTTAAGATCATATGTCCCTGCCAAACCATGTTATCACGGCGGGTCAAAAAAGCAAAGATGACTGCACTTACCAGTCAGAAGTTGGGCTACCTTTCGGGGGTGGGGCATCTCTCGGGATTTTACAATAGTGAGTTTTAGTATAGCCTATACAAGCAAACGTAAGCGCTGTGTGTTTGCGTTAGCTTTGTGTGTTCCACAGTGCGCTTGCGCGGAGCCCAAAATTGCAGTCTTATATTGACGCATGGTGATGGCGCGCATGCGCAACATGGAGCATGCAAGAAACGCAAACGCACAGCGCTTGCGTTTCTTTCTATACGCAATACTAAAACTCTCTAATAAGGTACAACCCTATATCGGCTGCAGCCCTACGTTGGAACAGTGAAAAGTGTTGTTTGCATTCGGAAATGACATTTCGCAAGCCATCCTCGCAAGCAGTTCCACCGTGCCCGCTGAGCAGGACAATCGGGGGACCCTCACTAAGGCGCTTCCCGTTTCCGCCGCGGGAGGGCGAGCAACGAGCTAAAGGTGCGAATACAGACGAAACACGAACTTGAGCGCGAACGTGCTGTGTGCGCTTTGTTTGCTTCGTGTTCCTTATCGGCGTCGTTAGCGGGTGTGGTTACTCTCTGCGCGAAAGTCTAGCTTCGCACAAGCACCGATTCAGCGACTTGTGGCTACTCAACAATGGCAAGTCCCAGCACCGCCGGCACCTCGACGGGGAAAACGAAGGCAATCTCCTCGAAACAAAAGTGTGTTGCCATTCTCAACGAAGTGTGCATCAACGTGAAGAATGCCGTCCAATGCCGGCGTCCTCCGTGGCAGTCGTAACAGCTGTCGATAGGGCTCTGGATGCGGTCCGTACGTAGGTTGCAGGATTTTCTTTCGATCGGAGCTTCTCGCAGTTGGTGAGAAGTCTTACGATCCAGCAGAGAGCACGTGCAGGGAAACCTCAACCACTTTCTGCAAGCACGGTAAACATGTGCCCCTGATGGCCCATGTTATACAGTAAACTCTCAATTGAGTGAACTTCAAGGGACCCAAAGAAATAGTTGACTTAACTGAAAGTTCACTAAACTGAATATGTTCACTAGAATATGGTATAGCATAGGGCACAGCAAACATCGAGTCAAAAGTGTGAAATGCAATTTATGGAGTCATGTACATCGATATATACAAAGTGCATAACAGTTACGTTGCTGCCTTTCTCATTTTGAAAAAAAAAATCTAATTTTCATTTGCACCAACGCTCCTAAAGCGCATGAAGTAACAAAGTTACCCAGAGAGTCTATATTTTTTTGCACTTCCCCTGGCACTGCTCATTGCTGTGACGAAGCCATACTGCAACGGCATTGTCCACTGGCTTGAAATATTCCGTGCAGAGTCGTTTTCTGTTGGGATTGAACACACTTTCTCCTTCAAGCTTCGACTTTTGCTTCATTATCATTGACAACGTCGACGGTGGAATCCCATAGTCCTTCGCAACGTCCACTTGCCTTTGACCGTTGTTCAGACGCTGAAGGATTTTGAGCTTGTCTGATGGAGACAACCATTTCCGTTTCGTTGTACTCATTACGAAAGTGGGCGCACAAACTGCCGTCCTGCCGTTGTTACCCAAAACTAAGATGGCCGAACGGAACCGATGATAAGGAAAAAAAAGACACACCACGGGGTTTGTTTTCGTCTACCGCACCGCCGCTTTACTGGCTTTACCTCGGTGGCTCTGTAAACGCCAGCGATGATATGCCACCACTGCAGAGGCGGCGGCGGGCGGCGGGCATTGGCTACGCCAGCACTGCAGAGCACTAAACTTCATTGAACTGATTGCAAAAATAATCCTGGGTCCACCGATCAAGTTCTTTGAACTGAAATATTTGCTATTCCGAAATTCGTTTAACTAAAACATTTTTTACATAAAATGCATAGGAAACTGCTGAGAATTTTTTTAAAGTTCGTTATTCTGAAATATTTGTTAAACCGACGTTCACTCAAGTAAGAGTTTACTGCATATAGTACTTTTTTTTTTTTTTTGTGTTACATTTATGGATTTTAGATGTAACGAAGAAGCGGATAATAGCGAAGTGATTTCAGATTCCCATCGACTTCGTTATAACCGGTCTCGAAAAAAGTTTCGTACGGAGGGTTGTTGGGAATCATTGCACGCTACTAAACAAATTGAAACGCATACAGAATTTTAATAACTAAAAAACATTCTTCACATGCGTGGTGACGATAACCCACGAGGCCGAAATCAGCAATGTCTCGCCCCTAACGCTATCGCTTTAAAATACTAATCGAGGTTTTGGTTAATAATCCTCCACATTTAGATCATCTCTTCTGTCAGAGCGTAGTGAAACACTGCTGGAACCTTAAATCTTCCTAAAAGTGATTTTTGATGATACCCAGCAAGTTTTCTAAATTAACCCTTATTTGTAATAATTAAAAAAAAATTACTGAAAAGTAATTCACCACTTAATTGTCTCAAACACTATGGACCTCCCTAACTAGGCCCCTTGTTGGTGGTGACAATGGTCGTATAAACCTTTAGGTGAGGACAACCGTAGCTTGGCAACTGTGATGGATCTGGTAAAAAGTCCATTCATCTGGCTGATGTCCCTGGGCTACTTGACAGCCTTTGGCGCCAAGACTGGTGCAGTCGACTGGGGCCAGCTGTACCTCATACAAGACCTCGGCCATTCTCAGTTTGCTGGTGCGTACTATCCATTCTTATGGGTCATCGTTGCATGCTGCCCTAATACAAGCCTCTGCTGAATGTCTCCATACTGGTTCACAGTTTTTCTTGCTGAACCCCTACTTTTGTGGTCACTTATCTATCTGGTATTTACTGGGAAGGTAATAGGATGGAAAAATTAAAACACATCTTGTTTCGATAATACTATGATTTGTATATGTGTCGAGTGACTGGGCGGTCTGACTAATTGGCTTTTTTGTCTTAAAGAGCAGAAGGCTCTTTAAGACAATGTTAAATGTTAAATTTCATAGTGTGAGGTTGGGGCCCTGGGGAAGATAGCTAATCAAAACATTCTTTCAAACAACTAGTAGTTCGGGGATGACTCCAAATCATCAGTTCGGCCACTCTTTTTTTCGTTTTGTTTTTGGGAAGGAAACCAACGTTTTTGTGCGCTTCCTTTCTCCGAACTCCTTCTTTGTTGGCTTGCTTGCATGACCCGAGTTGCCACGCTGCCTGCGCAGAAACCACAGCGATGAGAGCTCGTCCTAGAGTTGGGGATGCATTTTAGCGGTGCCTTTCATTCAGCGCCGTTCCTATCTAAGGAAGCTGAGGTTGGCGCCTCCGGCATGCAGCGAGTGCCCTCATGAGCTGCATAGAGGCTGGAGGACTCTTGGGAGGCATCTTGGCAGGATACCTGACAGACAAGAAAGTGCGCACGAGTGATTCGTCGCGGAGCAGCCCAAGGGTTCCACTGGCTGTGCTCTTCACGGCGTGCTCTGCGGTAGCCTTTCATCTGCTGGGCTTCAACGTCGGTCGGGAATCCTCGGAGGCAAGTTCCTCGAACTACGTTTCCCGGTACGTGTCTTCAACTGGTGTGTTTACCGCGCTGCAAAAGAGTGGTCCGTCGATTTCCGCCCGATGGTGTCGCAGAAATGTCACGTTGTCGCCGGCCGTGATTCTGGCGGAGTTACAACAATGGCGGTGGATGTAGCAGACATCTGTTTCGCTGCAAGTCCCTCTCCAGCCTGACGGTCCACAAAAGCTTTAGCAACCAGGACGAGGGGACACAGCAACGACAGCGACACTCACGTTTGCTTGTAGTACTTTTGGCTGGGACTTCTAGCACCACCGCCTGGATCACAGCATCCGACAACGCTACACACCGGCTTTTGTGTCGTTGTCTGTTGCCACTTTGGGACTACTTTCGATGTATGGGCAGAATAGGATTTGGGCAGGTAGACACACCGGTTAAAGATGCGTGCCAGGCACCATACCCGAACCAAACTCTTGGAGCCCGCGGTTGATGGTTGGCGGGTTTGCAGTGGTGGATTGGTGCCATCGGGCTGGTCCTCGGGGTGGGCACATACGGCCCAATGGCCATCTTCGGTGTCGTCGCTTCCGAGTCTGCTCCTGCGCACCTCGCGAGCACGTCGCACGCCATCGTCGCCCTGGCTGGCGGTGGTAAGCTCTTTCTTAAGCAGGATCGGGGACTGGCACGTAGAGAGGCACTGAGGTGACCGCTTAGCACCTGCTCAAGTTACAGCCACCGAGTTTCGAGCATATCTCTTGCACGTTAAAGGGCACTAAAAGCCACTTTCTGCCACTGTCTGTTTAGGGTCATAGCTCACTATGGGCTCTAACCATCTAAAAGACCAAACATTAATTGCATTCATGTGTGGCCAATTTCTCTATGCGCAGTGCGGGGGGGGGGGGGGGGGGGGGGGGGGGGTTGCGGCTGCGGCGGCGGGGGGCACAATAACAAAAGGGTAAATTAAAACAAAAATTAATATAAACATGTTTTGAAATGGAGAATAATCAACCCTACTCACTTGGCTTGGTGCACATGGTTTGGTCTATTTAAATTTGTGAAGTGGCAGCAACCTTTCCCTTGAAACTCCTATAATGCATGTAATGCATTATAGGGAATTGGTGAGGGGATTGGGGTGTCACCTGACATATTTTCCCTCTAAATTTAGCGGGGAAACTCAGTGGTTGTGTAGGTCACATGACATTGATTTTCCCCGCTAAATTTAGCAGGGAAACTAAATTGGTGTCTAGGTCACAAGACGTGAATTTTCCCGCTAAATTTAGCAGGTAATTGAATTGATGTATAGGTCCCGTGGCGCCAACTTCCCTGCTAAATTTAGTGGGAAAATCGAATTAATGTTTTGGCCTCAAGACGTCAATTTTCCTGCAAAATTTGGCGGGAAGACTGAGTTGACGTATTGGTCACGTGCCATCAATTTCCCCAAAATGTGTAGGTCACATGACACCACTTTCCCCGCTATATTTAGAGGAAAATGCACGGATGGATAAACAGAAAACATCTTGAGATTGGGCGGTAGCATTTATAAACATTTCATGCTTAAAAAAAAAAAAAAGTTTTATTGCTTGCTTTGTTTAGCGGTTGAGGGCTTCAGTGACCCTAAGAAGGCCTTTGGGAACCCTAAAGGGTCTGTGGACTGCCATTTGAGAACCATTGCACAGGGATTTTGTCTCCTTTGTGGTATCCACTGATTCAGACTCAACACTTTTCGTCTGTGGAAGGACAGGACCAGTGGCATTTTTGGTAAGAACGCTTTAGCTAAGCTTGCATATGCTTCTTCTCCAACAGTAGGTGGAGTCCTTGCGGGGCTGCCGTTCAGCATCATCGCAGAGTACTACCAGTGGCGAGGAGTGTTTCTGCTTTTGGAAGTTGTCAGCGCAGTCACGGCAGTGCTGCTCTTTCTCGGAAGGAATCTGAACTCGAGGTTGGGAAGCAGGTCGGAGAACGCAGAAATGCTGCCAGGGGTGGCACCACCTGAGGCTGCGTGATGTTGTCCTTCACAGGATTGTTTTTCGTTGAATAGGTGATAAATCCCTTACTTTTAGTTCTATGAGGAATGTATAATTGTTATTGTTTTTGTTGTATGGATGAACCAATGTGTGCAAAACAAAAATACAGTGCACTGAGGGCTGTTGGTATATACCAGGGGTGGCGAGGCAGACCCCTCCTAAGAGCCGCAAACGAAAGCACGACTTTTGTTCAGAGCAATAAACGAACGAACTCGAACTACATTCAATCTATCCGAGCCAAAAGCAGTCAATCTGTACGTAAGATAGCAGTAGCACGTGAGACTACCAACCCGCAACCTGTCTTTCGATTTAAGACGTGTTCCATTTCTCTTTTTGGGGAAGTACTCGTGTGACCGGAAAGGAGGTGGGGTAGGGGAGGGAGCCGTGAGCCGCACTTTAACACGTGAAGAGCCGCAGCTTGGCCACCCCTGGTATATACCATAGAGTGTACACTTTGAGGTGCACTGGATTGGGAAGAGGAGAGATTAAAGGTATAAAAAAGTCGAGAAAAGAAAAGAAGGAAATGGTTGCAGAATGGGCCTTATTACTGTCTCTTATGACTTTTTTCTTTGATCACTGTTCAAGAGATGGGAAAAAGGTGTCTGCAGGTCAGACAGTTCGGTTGCAGCAGGAGAGGTAGACGAGCCCAAGTGCTGAACCAAACTCAGACCTGTGCTAGCCTAAATACTCTATTCAAGTTACTCTATCCTAAATACTCTTTGGTGTATCATATTTTTCAGACTATAGCCCACATCTACTGCATTCTTAGAAGTTGAAATTTTATGCAGTGCAGACTATGCAAGGGGATTTGTATTTTCAAGTACGTGTATTATGATGAGACATGACGAATTTTGTGAAGGACAGATTATGTCAACAGTGGTTCCTATCTGGTACAAGCTTTTTTCTGTGCTAATAAAGCATGCAATTTTCAATTTGTACTTTGAGAACTTTTTCACCAGGTGCAAACTGCTCAATGCAGGCAGACTACATATGTAAGGAGAAACTTTTTTCGGCCAAAATTTGCCTCTGTGGACCGAAATTTGGATTTCAGAAAAAACAATGCTGGAGATGTAGGCGGGACGCTACAATCCCTACAACACTACTAGTGTGGCGATATTTTAAATGGACGGCCGTATTTTTGGAAAAAGAAGTCGAGATTGAACCAGGCCGACAAGGCGCGTAACCGTCAAGATACCTACTAGTTCCCCCCTCTCTTCGTTTCGCTCCCTCAAGGCCGCGAGGCGGAGAAGACGCGAGGCCGTTCCCTCTCCTTCTCGGAGAAACATGACGTCAACATTCCTGCCAAATGCGCCCCTTTTTTTAAAAAATACGGTCATCCGTTCGAGATATCGCTGTATGAGTGATGTTCTGGTGTTTGTAGCATCCCGTTGCACACTTTTGCCGCGTGTTTTGGGGAATCCAGATTTCGGTTCAGCATCCCTTTAAAGGGGCCCTGCAATCATATTTAAGCGTCTACCTTTTTTTTGCGGTTTCCACGTCTCTTGGGGTTCGGGCAAGCCAGAGGGCACGGAGGGAGTAACTAAATATCGGTTCATCATATTCTAACCGGACGACGCGGAAACCTACAAGGGTGAAGCTTGCAAGTTAAGGTTGTAATTATAATGCAATTAAATGCAAAGGTGCAAGCGAGCTCTCCACCGACGAGGGCGACCCGCGGTACCGAAAGCGCGCAAAATGTGACGTCTTTGGTCCTTTGCTTACTACTGGTCAGAGCCGCTAAAAGCTTCTTTTTAGTCGAAATACAAAATATAAGTGGCGCGAACAGTTTCAATTATTCATTGAAGTAGTTTTTGTTCAGTATTTTAGATCAAAATAGAAAGGAATGCAGTTCATAAAGTACGGAAACAACAAAATGAACCGTCGACATACCCCCCACCAAGCGGTGGAAAAGGCGGTGCATTCAAGAAAGGAGTAGTGGTAGGGTGGCTAGAGAGTTGGGTGTGTCGAGCGCGCCGGCTCTCCCATGCATCGCCGCGGCCGGTTTTGAAAATCACCGTCAGGGGCGCTCTACTCAGCGTGTATGCTAGGCGCGCGCAGCTGGCGCAGGGATTTGCGTGCGGCAAGGCGGGTAGCGACGAGTTCACGCCCGCTTTCATCTGTTCTTCAGGGCTCGTGTGAATTTATTTCAACCGTTCCTGCATGCCCGTCCGTCAGGTGACACGTGGGGACTATGGACGTTGCCCCGTCAACCTCCGGCGTAAAGAAAAATCAGCGAGCGAAGCACTGCGTCGTTTCAGAATGCACGACAGGCTCCAGGTCTGCAAGAGAAAAACACACGTTGTTCGCCGTCCCGAAGGACCCAGTCCTCTTCTCTCACTGGAACAGAAATATTCCGAGGGGAGACACGCATCTTCAGGAAAACTCCGGGGTGTGCGCACTTCACTTCGACGAGCGGTACATCGAGCGATACTTCTCTAAAATATTGCTCGATCCGTTCGAGATATCGCTGTATGAGTGGTGTTTTGGGGTTAATAATAATAATAATAATAATAAGTTTATTCCCAAAGAAAGCATACATACAATTTACTCAGTCTCACAAAAGCACTTGCGTGCTTTTGTGTTGGGAAGTACTTTAAGCGTATTGTACTTAAAGTACTATTTAAATTAGATTTAGGAAACTTTTACTTTACTTGAGGTACACTCTCTGAGTACGTACTTGTACTTAAAGTATTCGTTTCTGCTACTTTCCGAGGAAAGTACAATACCCGACTTCAAAGTACATTCCTTAAATTTGGTTTTGTTAAATTTGTATCACGAAGTGATGCCTTGTCAACTCCGAAGAAAAACTGGGAGGGATATTCTACTCTCACCAGAAACGTGAGCAGACGACGCATCGCCCCGTTTGTTCTGGGAGCGGTTTTCCCGTAGGTTTTTGAACTCTTGCTACTTCTCGGTCGGTCAGCGCAAGCGAGGAGGTTTGAAATATTAGGAGAGAAAAATTGATCATAATGTAGCACCTTAGTCTGTGGTGCGAAAAAAATTAAATTGTCAAGTCGAAGTATAAGAGAGAACAGAGGAGAAGTTGGTCTGAGACATTCTCTTTTGTCAATTAAAACTTGTTGGCCTAGTTGGTTCATGATGCAGTCTAGAGGTTTTTTGCGGGACACAAGGGACAATTACAAGCGAGTAGACATAGACAAGCGCAAATTCTCTTTTGTCTTTTCCTTCTATTTGAGAGTTCCTTATTTTTTTTCGCACCCCAATCGCAGGTGTCACATCATGATTAATTATCACCAGCACGCTTGCAGACTTATTTTTTTTTTTTTTTTTTTTATTAAGCAGAGGGCATTTTTTTATGAGAGGATTGCTTGCGGAAGCTACGGTGCTGACGTCATGCTCTCTGGTACATTTAACCCACTTGGGTGCAACAATCCAGTGCAAGGGGCGCCAAATTCAGAAGAGGGTCTTCTGAATTTGGCTCCATTCGTGAAAAAAAAAAACTATTTTATGGCCGTTTGATTTTATCAAATATTCGCCGCTGTTTGTGAGGTCATGCTCCCTTGATTACCCCTAAATAATGCATACCAATTAAAAAAGATCACTGTATAGGGGAATGAAAGGGCATCATGAAAGATTGTGTTAAAAAACTTATACTTTACTTTGAAAGTACATTGCATTTATAGTACTTTACTTCAAGTAGTTTGCTCCCAGCGTACTTAATCATTTACTTGTAAGTAAATTATTAACTACACTGGAACGTAAATGAGACGTTATAACGTCTCGTTTACTTTGTACTTTACTTGAAGTACCTTTTAGTTGTACTTTACCCAACGCTGTCTGCGGCCTTATTTTCTGAAATCCGAATTTCGGTTCAGCATCCCATGCACGTAGCAACACGACTGTATGAAGCTGGCCTTTCGCACAGAGTTTAATGTGCTTAATTTTATACCACGGACTCTCCATAAAAATTTCCGTCGCAATGTCACAATGGTGTCCACTTTTGTTGATGGCAATTTCTATGCGACGACATAAAAATCTAGCGGAGGTGTCATCATTGGACTGTTCGGTGTGCCTCGGTATTCAAGAGGTTATATTCGGCTAGGCTAAAATATGCTTCCCCAGACTCAGGCTGTTTCTGTCCTTTGTGTTCTGTTTTAACCCGTTTGAAGTTAAGTGACCAAAATGCGACGATACTTAATAACTGTTTGCGGTACTGTTATTCTCGTCCTGATTGACTTCAAGGCAGAGCGCTGACTGCAAGATATGCCTTTTCATGGTACCATGATAGGGTTTGTTCATTCTCAGAGTGCATGTGGGTCTTGCCAATGGCTGTAAAGATCCTCGCTGTACTTCGATCCTGTGTTCCTATACCTATGTCCTGGCTAAAACAGCGTGATCCCGAGAATCAAACTGCAGTCATCTGGTGAGGAGGCACAATATTTTTGATCAATCGAAAATATGTCTTTACTCATTGAAGACAAATGCGATCACTACTGGTGTCTGGGTGCCCTTAAGTCTGCTCTAGACGCAGCTTTGAAAACCTGTTCACGCATGCATCCGAGAATACCCAGGACAGCCTTACGATGTTCAGTAGTGTTGCGATTATAGTGTGGAAAAGAAAGTACACACGAGAAAGATATATTTGTTACCATGTGGAAGATCATATGCCATAAGCCATTTTGTATGGAGGTTAGCACAAAAGTAATGTTTTGTGCTTTTTCTCAAGATATTTTATTTGCCAAAGTTACGACAATTACAATGTAAAGAAAGTGGCAAAAATGCATTGTTTGCTTTGTGTCAAGACAACTTTTCGTGTTGTTTCTCGTCAGCCATGTCTGCTCTTGAATCAAAGGGAATTGCTCCAGAAGTGTCCAGTGTCCTCAGACATATTTTAATGTTAAAGTGCCTGCGCGGTTCATGGTCGATTCATTTGACAGACGTGACACAGCGGCTTGAAACGCGAAATTTCGTCACGGCTGCTGATACCTCGGTGGACGTTTCACGTACTTCGAAAACGTAGTACACGAGAGAAAATAATAAAAAAAAAATTCTCCATTTTTCCATATTACCTCGGAATCGACGCCTCCGTTACGCGAACGAGAACGTTGCGGTGAGAATAGAACAACTTCAAGTGCGCATTTACCTTCGTTGACGCTCCAAAATCGGGTCGACTATCGAATCCAGGTTTATCAGACTTTCATTGTGCCACGCTAATTAATTCTGTAAAAAATCACAGCCGACAAGTGGCCGCGTAAAGGTCCGCACGCAGCGCATTTCGGAGCCAGCGCAGCCAAAACGCCGCGGTCGGCTAGCATACAGGCATACAGGCCTTCCGAGGCGCCTCCTGGCGACAGATTTCCGTTTCTGCGGAGGCCGGCGCGCGGCACCGGCCTCCGCTCGACACACCCAACTCTCTAGCCACCATAGTAGTGGGATCAGGCGCCGACACGGAAAGGTCCCGGATGTACGCGGCAGCACTGCGGTCGTATGGACAGGAGGATCCGACCGGCTCCGAGCGTTCCGAAGGCCTTCGGCGAGAAGCTTTGTCTTGCAGTTTGGCCGTTTCGCGGTATGGCAGCGCAAAGTGGCTCCCATTTTGAACTGATCTTTACCCCGTGTTTGCTGTCGTTTGTGGCCAATGAAGTGTCATGCCGAATTAGTCTTTAATCACGTAGCAAATGCAACGAGAGCCGCTCTGGCTGCTCGCTGCACACAGCCTATCCAAAACATGCTTTAGTGGCACCCTCTCGCGCCGTCGACACGGGAGTGCGGCAGCTGTGAGCGCTCGATAAGCTCACTGCTTCTCCTCTAGTTCACGGCCACTCAAGCAACCAAGGACGTCATGAGGGAGGTTTTTTGCTTGTTTTTGTAATTTTAATTTGCCTATAACTTTTAAAATAAAGGGAATTTCGAGAAAAGAAAAGTTCCACTAAGTTACTACGTTCAGTGCGCTCAGGTTTGGTGCAAAT